GGTTCGGCGCACTCCTCACGAGGATCGTGGCCCTATAAAGAGCCCCACCGAAGGCCACAGTGGGAAAGGTTCGCATGGCGGCCTCGGGCCAGTTCGGCGGAACCCCTCACGAGGATCGTGGCCCCATAGGGAGCCCCACCGAAGGCCCCAGTGGGAAAAGTTCGCATGGCGGCCTCGGGCCAGTTCGGCGGCACCCCTCACGAGGATCGTGGCCCCATAGCGGGCTCCACCGAAGGCCCCAGTGGGAAAGTTCGCATGGCGGCCCCACCCCAGTTCGGCGCACCCCTCACGAGGATCGTGGCCCTATAGGGAGCCCCATCGAACATGACAGTCACGACTGCGGTACTCACAGCTGCATAAGGCTGGGTCCTTCGCAAGGCAAATCTTGGCAATAGTAATATGGGTATCAGGATTACCCGTAGTGTAGCATTAATCAGAGGAGCAGTGGTAACCTTACGAATACTAGTAGTAGTGATAGTAATAGTCGTAGTAGTTGTCGTCGTAGTAGTAGGTAGTAGTAGTAGTAGTAGTAGTAGTAGTAGTAGTAGTAGTAGTAGTAGTAGTAGTAGTAGTAGTAGTAGTAGTAGTAGTAGTAGTAGTAGTAGTAGTAGTAGTAGTAGTAGTAGTAGTAGTAGTAGTAGTAGTAGTAGTAGTAGTAGTAGTAGTAGTAGTAGTAGTAGTAGTAGTAGTAGTAGTAGTAGTAGTAGTAGTAGTAGCGTAGTAGTAGTAGTAGTCGTAGTCGTAGTCGTAGTCGTAGTCGTAGTCGTAGTCGTAGTCGTAGTCGTAGTAGTCGTAGTCGTAGTCGTAGTCGTAGTCGTAGTCGTAGTAGTAGTAGTAGTAGTAGTAGTAGTAGTAGTAGTAGTAGTAGTCGTAGTAGTAGTAGTAGTAGTAGTAGTAGTAGTAGTAGTATAATAGTAGTAGTAGTAGTAGTAGTAGTAGTAGTAGGTAGTAGGTAGTAGTAGTAGTAGTAGTGGTAGTGGTAGTAGTAGTAGTAGTGGTAGTGGTAGTGGTAATGGTAGTAGTAGTAGTAGTAGTAGTAGTAGTAGTAGTAGTAGTAGTAGTAGTAGTAGTAGTACTATTAGTAGTGGTAGTAGTACTAGTAGTAGTAGTAGTAGTAGTAGTAGTAGTAGTAGTAGTAGTAGTAGTAGTAATAGTAGTAGTAGTAGTAGTAGTAGTAGTAGTAGTACCGCCGTTTGCGAAATAAACGCCCACGCGCGGAAGTATCGAGAGCCCCGCCCCGCGCCCCGCATTTCAATGTTGGCCACCAAACACGCCGAAGGGGAGCGCGAAGCGTTGCGAAATAAACGCCCACTTATGTTGGACTGCCCAGCCCTCCCCGTCAACCTTGGAACGCGGGGAAAAGGGGGCGTACTTCCTCGTTTCGTTTTCGATCCCTAAGATGGGCGTTTATTTCGCAAACGGCGGTACCCCACGAGCGTCTCATAGTGACGCAACGCTGTACCTTCACACACACACACACACACACACACACACACACACACACATATATATATATATATATATACATATATGTACGTACCCCCACATGCACATGTTGTCTGTGTATCAATATATACGCGTATACATAAGTGTGTATGTACAACCTATTTGCACATCCATATGCCGTTCCCCTTTGTATGCATACACCCATGCATACACGTACGTGCATGCATGCATTCACGCCGTCACGCAATGCGAGGCGGTTCACGCGACGCTACCCGCGCGGAATCGTCCGGTGGCGACACAACGCTGATGACCCCCCTTACTCTCGGGCAGCAAAGACTACTCCGTCAATCCACAAGAGCAATTAAATCTTTGCGGAAAACCTCGGGAGTGTGCGCTTACCACGCTAGGGAAGGTAGCGCGCCGTGAATGGGGCTGGGGAAAGTCAGTGCCTGGCTGTAGGCCTTCCGGCACGGACACGTAATCACAAAAACGACTGGGGGGGAAAGAGTGGCCAGCGCGACGGCGAGAGCACCATTCCGACGTCCACGTGCAATCATGTGGTACGTAACGGGCCCACAAAGAAACTGGCTCCGACGCGAGCGAGGGATCCATGTCCAAACATATATTCTCGGAGTGTACGCCTGGGACGTCCACCGTCGACATGGACGCGGGTCCTGGAGCACAACCTAGAGCACAACCTAGAGCACAACCTAGAGCACAACTCATGAAGGTATATATTTTCATGAAAAAACGGCACACAACCTTCCAAAAACAAAGAAGAATCAACACTTTCTTTATTTTCGAACGCGAATGCGTGCCAGACGATCATGAAATGAGTTGCGCTCTAGGTTGTGCTCTAGGTTGTGCTCTAGGTTGTGCTCTAGTTGTGCTCTAGTTGTGCTCTAAGGCGGCCCCTGGGATAAGCGGTCGCCTGCCGTCCGCGCCCCCGGACCTTCAATCCGACGGAAGTGGCGTTGCTCCGTGTTTGGTAGAAGTGGCATAACGCACCGTCTCTTGAGCACCGCCAACAAGTCACGAAGGCAATCGCTGTTGGTCGCAGCGCCGGCCACGAGCTCCACGTTGCAAGCGCCGGGCAACGCGCCCTGCCGCCTCCTCCGCCGCGGGCCAGACGCGCGGGCAACGCGTTGCACGACGTTCTGGACACACGAGCAAACGAAATGAAGCCGCAATGATACGCAGGCTGTGTCCCGCGCGGGCCTGCACCAAGGCAAACGCGCGTAAAGCGCAGGAGTCGCGAGCATCGCAGGGCCCTCGCCATGGACAGTCGAGCGCCTTCCAAAAGGCAGGGATGGAACAGTAGCCCCATATAGCCTCGTAGCCCTATAGCCCCATAGCCCTGTTGCCCCGTAGCCCTACAGCCCTGCAGCCCCATAGCCCTAGCCCTATAGCTCTATAGCCTCATATCCCTCTAGCCCAAGAGCCCAATAGCTCAAGAGCCCTGTATCCTGATTGCCATATAGCCCTGTAGCCCAAAAAAGGAACTGAGTGGGGGATGTCTCCCGTATCAGTCATACACATATACACGCACCTTCAGAAGCACTGGAAGGGGCCAGTCGCGCAACGCAACCCATGCAGATGCCCGCAGAGCGCAGTGGCAAATGAGTCCGCCGTTTGCGAAATAAACGCCCACGCGCGGAAGTATCGAGAGCCCCGCCCCGCGCCCCGCATTTCAATGTTGGCCACCAAACACGCCGAAGGGGAGCGCGAAGCGTTGCGAAATAAACGCCCACTTATGTTGGACTGCCCAGCCCTCCCCGTCAACCTTGGAATGCGGGGAAAAGGGGGCGTACTTCCTCGTCCTGTTTTCGATCCCTAAGATGGGCGTTTATTTCGCAAACGGCGGTAGTAGCAGTAAGTAGTAGTAGTAGTAGTAAGTAACTAAGTAAGTAAGTAAGTAAGTGAGGAAGTAAGTAAGTAAGTAAATAAGTAAGTAATAGCAGTAGTAGTAGTAAGTAGTAAGTAGTAAGTAGCAGTAGTAGTAGTAGTCGTAGCAGTAGTAGTAGTAGTTCGAGTACTAGTAGTAGTAGTGGTAGCAGTAGTAATAATAGTAGTAGTAGACGTATGAATACTTGTAGTCGTGGTAGTAGTAGTAACAGTAGTAGCAGTAGTAGTAGTAGTAGTAGTAGTAAATAGTAGTAGTCGTAGTAGTAGTAGTAGCAGTTGTGGTGTAGTAGTAGTGATAGTAGTAGTGATAGTTGTAGTAGTAGCAATGGTAGTAAAAGTAGTAGTAGTAGTAGTAGGAGCAGTGGTGGTGATGATGAAAAGGATAGTAAGAGTAGTCGTCGTCGGGATAGAAATCGTAATAGTATCAGTAGTAGTACAAGTAGTAATAGCAATAGCTTTATGACGAGGAATAGCAGTAGTAGTAGTAGTAGTAATAAATACTGATAATAGTAGTACTAGTAGTCGTAATCGTAGTAGCAGCAATAGTAGCAGTAGCATGATTACTCTTGTGTTAAGTCATCGTTTGTCCTATATGAGTTTCGTATTCGTGTTATTCGTTGCGTTGTTGCTATTATTTCTTTTTGAGTATTGGAAAGCTACCGTGCCCAAACCCCTGTCCGCACGCGAGGCGCATCTTGAGCGCGCGGCCACCAGTGGGATGGGCCAGGGCCTGGGGCGGCGCGAGCGACCACCCGAGCAGATCGCATCCCCGCCAGCCCTGAGGGCATGGGGTGCAAGGGCTCGGCCAAAACGTGTTGTTTTCGTTTTCCCTCGTTTTGGCGGTTCTGCGGTCCCGCGACGCTGAAGCGACCTCTGGGCGCAGAGGAGGAGGAGGAGGAGGTCTCTGGCGCGATGCGTTCGAGTCGCCAGAGGCTCCTGAGGCCTCCAAAGTCTTCTGGAGATCTCTCAGGAGGTTCCCGGATCCCGGGCAGCTCTCCGCAGAAGCCCATGGAGGCCTCCGAAGCGACAAACCAAAATTGAACAACAACTGCTCACACTAAACATCCCAGGGCTCGACCAAAACAATGTTTTTCGTGTTCGTCTTGCTTTCGTCCTCCCTTGTTTTGTCTCCGATCCGCCTCTGCTGCCAGAAAAAGCCGAAACGAAAACGGCCCACGGAATCGCCACAGCACCGTCGTGTTCGTCTTGTCTTCATCTTCCCTCGTTCTTCTGTCTCCAATCCGCCCTTGCTACAAAACGAAGCCAAAACGAAAACGGCGCACGAGATCGACAAAACACCGTTTAGGTCGACCTATGTGGGACGCGCGTGCGTTTTCCGGTAGATCACCTCCAGTTTGTACGCTGTGCGAACTTAAGCCACGGAGCTGGAGCGTGCCACGGGTGAAAACGGAACGCGTGAATCCGACTCAAGCAAAGCGCGAACAAATCAGGTGAGGCCAGCATAAAGATCGAACGGACAGGGCAAGCGAGACAATAGAAGAAGAAGAAAAGAAACAAACAAAAACGCCATAAACATAACATGTCGGCGCTCCGCGCGGATTTCTTGGATCTGCGCTAGGCCCCCCAAAAGTTTATGTTTATGCTGATTGTTCTTCTTCGGGACAGGTAGGCCCAGCGATCACCTCCACCTCGTCCTTTCCCTCCCCGCCCGTCGCCGACTCGCATGCATGCGCCCCCCGCCGGCGATGCGTCCGCCCTAGTCTTAGCGGAGCACCGTGAACGGCGAGAGGCCTGGGCCGAGTCCTGCACAGCGACGCACCTCCTCTCCCTTCGGGAAAGCGAGAGGTTACGAATTCGAACATTCCTGCGCGTCTCCGATGTTGAGCAAACGTTGCAGCTGTAGGCATCGCGCAGCGGTAGAAGATTGCGGTCGGAAGGCGCGGGGAGATGGGAGAGGAGGAACAAAGGGAAGAGAGGTGCCCACGGCCCGAGGTGACCCCAGCTTCTCGCCCGACTTTGGGGAGCCCCTCGGGCCCTCTGGGCATCGTGAGGGGTGCTCTGGAGGCCTTGGGGGCTTCCCTGGAACTCCTGGGGGCACCTTGGGCCAGGGGTCCAGGAGGAGGAGGAGGAGGAGGAGGACGAGGAGGAGGCAAAGGAGGAGGAGGAGGAGGAGGAGGAGGAGCAGGAGGAGGAGGAGGAGGAGGCGGGCGGCGGGGGAGAGGGAGGGGGAGGGGGAGGAGGAGGAGGAGGAGGAGGGGGAGGAGGAGGCGGAGGAGGAGGAGAAGGAGGACAACGAGAAGGGAGGGAGCAGGGGGAGAGAAGGGGCAGGGGCGCGGAAGCCGCGCCGGCACGGGAACTCTTTCCTGAGATTGGCAGCGCCCGAAGAAGGGGGGGAGGGCAGGGCTGGACCTCAACGCTGTTTTTCGTTGTGTTCGTTCCTCTTTTTTCGTTTTGCTCGGCCTGTTTTCCTGTGTACCTCCCTGCCAAAAGGAGAAGCAAAGCTCGGCCCCGAAGTCCAGCAAAACAGCGTCTGGGTCCGGCCCTGGGGGGAGGGAGCCAGGAGGGTCGGAGCAAGGGGGAGGCGGCGGTCGAAGGACGGCCTGGGAGGGGATCGAGGGAAAGAAGGGGAGGAGGAGGAGGAGGAGGAGGAGGAGGAGGAGGAGGAGGAGGAGGAGGAGGAGAGAGAGAGAGGAGAGAGGAGGAGGAGGAGGACGACGACGAGGAGGGGAGACGAGGAGGAGGAGGAGAGAGGAGGAGGAGGAGGGAGGAGGAGAGCAGGAGGAGGGAGGGGGGGGGTAGCTCGAGCCTCTCAGGTGCTCGCGGCGACGCCTCGAGCGTAGCCCTGCTCGAACCGGCGCGTGCCGTCGTTAGCCATTCCCGTCCCGTAGGCCTCCGCCAGGAGCCGCAGGGACTTGCAGAAGTGTGCCACATCACCCTGAGGAGGAGCAGCAGCGAGCAATAGGGGTGGGGACGGCGAGTGCAGGACGGAGGGGAGGGTGGAGAGGGGTGGGGAGAGCTGGAGGAAGGAGCGGCAGCAGCATCAGCACTCCGCCGTTCTGAGTTGCCGGACACGTGCATCGACAGATGCATGAAGGCACGCAGAGATTGCGGCTGGGGAGGAGTTAGAAGGACATCAGGCAACACACAGCGCAGTAGGAGAGGAGCATGACCATAGTGACTCCAAGTCTGCACGTGCGTACAATTACAGAGGTTAGGTGCTACGTGTGGCACGTACAATCGTAGCGGCCGTAATAGGTCAGGAACGGCGTCGGCGGAGGGCTCGTCGGCACAACGAAGACGCATGGTGCTATTGTCATGGTCCTTCCTCCCTCTCCCCCCTCCTTCTTCTCCTGCACCTCTTCCCCCGCCTCCTCCTTCTTCTCCTCTTCCTCGTCCTCCTCCTCCCCGTCCTCCTTCCACGCATCCTCCTCCCCATCCCCGTCCTCCTCACTCAACCTACCCGACCTCGTTGAGACTGCCAATCTTTGCAGTCGTTGAGTGGCAATAGGCACTCCCGAGGACACTCGTTGCTGCAAGGTAAGGGGCCCTTCAGATCCCAAGAGGCCCTAGCCACAACCCAGTTTGGAACTCGGGAAGCTGCAAACATTCGGTTAGCTGCTGAGCTTGCTAGATTTGCGTGGCCAGTCTTGTGAAGCGAATCTCAAGCCGCGCGCCGCCAGACAATGTCCAATAAAGCGGCGAGCCCAGCACGATGCCCGGCCGGTGGCGTCAAAACAGTAAAAAGGCTCTAACGAGCCCTCGAAATGCTGGACATCTCATATCATTGCCTGATCAGTCTAGCCAAACTGATTCAATACCATTGATGAGATACGCCAGGGAATCAGCAGACCAGAGAAAAAGCGAAAATGAGACTCGATGATCTCAAGCGTTGCCGTCTAAACAGGATTGGACTGGATTTGGATGTCCGAGTCAGCGCAAACGCGAGGCCCTTACTACCAGCCTTAGCATCAAGAGCGGAACCAGAAAAAAAAATACTCGAAACGTCTTTGCCATTCGTGCCATGGCAGGAGGTCTTTACGCCTCCTCCCCCTCCTCCTCCTCGTCCTCCTCCTCCTCCTCCTCCTCCTCCTCCTCCTCCTCCCTCCTCCCTCCTCCTCCTCCTCCTCCTCCTCCTCCTCCTCCTCCTCCTCCTCCTCCTCCTCCTCCCCCTCCTCCCCCTCCCTCTCC